CCTGGGCTGAACGGAATTGTAAAGCGTGCAGACGCGAATTCGCTAAAAATGGCCGAATGGTTACGAATATTGGGGAAAAAGCCGGAGCAACGAAACGCTCGTTATATTCAGAAGCTTTTGCTGTGATCCCGCGCGTGCGTTTATAATTAACGTTTCGTCGTGTGGCCGCGAATTCGTTCGACCGAGTGATGTACGAGTCTCGTCTGGATTGCTTCCAGTGCCTTCTTACAGTCTAATGGAATGCCTGCGTTTGTTAGAACAGAATAAGAAGGTTCGAATGTCGAATGAAAAATTCATTCGAGCGGTAAAAACATCCCTTCGGCACGTGAACTTCCCTGCATTAGTACGGAGTTCCTTTTCCCTCGTCCTCGAGAGAGATCCTCGCGAACCGAGATCGAAGAATACTCAACGAGAGATATATCGGACCACTAAGGATATTAAATATTTTCAATCCGAGTTAGAGTAACGTACTTTCAACGAGTTGGACGATGAACGTAAGGTCCTTAAAGCTAGGATGTCGATGCGTAGTCACCTCTGCTCGAGTCTGGTAATTGGCACCGGTTTCCAAAGAAACCTCGCAAACCGAGATCGAAGAATACTCAACGAGAGATATATCGGACCACTAAGGATATTAAATATTTTTAAAATAATAAATGAGAAATCGTATGCAAATTAAGACGTAGAATTATTTGTCTTCGACATTCCACGCATCGTTGGCTAATTTTAAATTTGGTATATTAATTAACACCGATCTTTAGAATCTGATTAAATGGTGACTGAGAGTCACCTCTCGAGTGCAAAGGGTTAAATATTTTCAATCCGAGTTAGAGTAACGTACTTTCGACGAGTTGGACGATGAACGTAAGGTCCTTAAAGCTAGGATGTCGATGCATAGCCACCTCTGCTCGTGTCTGGTAATTGGCACCGGTTTCCAAAGAAACCTTGAGAACCAGAGATCGAAGAATACTCAACGAGAGATATATCGAATCACTAAAGATATTAACCCTTTGCACTCGACGACTTTTTCGTTACAGAAAAATAGTAATTCGAAGACTATCTGGCATAGAGTCGACGATATTTTTAAAATAGTAAATGAGAAATCGTATGCAAATTAAGACGTAGAATTATTTTTCTTCGACATTCCACGCATCGTTGGCTAATTTTAAATTTGGTATATTAATTAACACCGATCTTTAGAATCTGATTAAATGGTGACTGAGAGTCACCTCTCGAGTGCAAAGGGTTAAATATTTTCAATCCGAGTTAGAGTAACGTACTTTCGACGAGTTGGACGATGAACGTAAGGTCCTTAAAGCTAGGATGTCGATGCGTAGCCACCTCCGCTCGAGTCTGGTAATTGGCATCGTTTTCCAAAGATCCCTCTCTTTGGAAACCGGTGCCAAGCCCAGAGCTACGCAAATCCAAGATATTTTTAATCCAATCGAAACGTTCAAAGTTCTTTTTAAACGTCGAAAACGTAGCACGAGTATTAAGATATAAAACGAGATAGCTAAACCTAATCGCTGTCATTCCGCGTCGATAACACGACAACATGCAAAATTCGCAACTCTCGTAATACCCGTCTGAATTTGTGTAATCAATTTCGAAGATCCGTATCCGCGGAGATATCGAATTTACGTTGATTCTATATACATTATATATATTTGTTTATTTACTCATTTATTTAATAATAATTTACGGGTAGTAGAACCCATTAATGTATAAACGAAAAATAAAAATACATAAATTTGTTAGAGAGAGAGAGAGAGAGAGAGAGAGAGAGAGAGAGAGAGAGAGAGAATATAGGTTACGTATGGTACAAATACTGATATAACCTATATAAACAATTTGCTTACAAGGAGAGTGCAAGTCCATCGGGTCACCGATTTAACACTAGGTTTACGGACGCTATCTGTATACCTATTTCCAAGGACACCTGTCAAATTGACAGGTAAAGGAAACCACGTGCCTTTTTCTTAACGATTAGTTTAATTTAAAATCAATTATATATTATATCAACAATCTTAATAAAAATTAACTAAATCTGTTATCATCGTGTAATTGACGAGTTCCGTAAATCTAGTGTTGATTGAAACTTTGTAGGTTTGTAGATTTCGTCATGCAGTTCAAGAATATACACCATTATAGCCGCCATTACTTAGTTTTCGAGACATTTACAATTAAAGTTTTAAAGTTTTATTACTTATTTAACTACAGATTTATTTCCAACAGTTTCGATTTGATTTATTTCCAACTTGCACTCTCCTTGCTAGAGATTTAAGATCTGGTTTTTACACGAACAGATACTTTTGCCAAAAAATTGAAAGTGTGATGAGAAATTGTTTGCAAGAATGCATATTCTATTGATAGGGTCTGCTGATTCGAGTCATATATACATACGTGTTTCTTTATCCGTTCTAAAGCTGGCTGATCGTAGCGTCGGCGAGAGTACAGTGCGTTCGAGAAAAGAAGGCACAGAGTGTTTATATACATCTTCACGGCTGATTCACTCCATTGACACTCTCTTGGTTACAGATGATGACGAAGATCATCGGTGAAGAAGATCAATCAGCCGCGAGGATATAAACGCGCTGTGCCTCCTTCTCTCGAACGCAAAGCACAGCATTTATATACATCTTCACGGCTGATTAACTCCACTGACACTCTCTTGGTTACAGACGGTGACGAAGATCGTCGGTGAAGAAGATCAATCAACCGCGAGGATATAAACGCGCTGTGCCTCCTTCTCTCGAACGCACAGTACTCGCGTGCGAGAAAAGAAGGCACAGCGTGTTTATATACATCCTCGTAGCTGATTAACTTCATTGACACTCTCATGATCACGGATGGTGACGAAGATCAATCAGCCGCGGGGATGTAAACGCGCTGTGCCTCCTTCTCTCAAACGCACAGTACTCGCGTGCGAGAAAAGAAGGCACAGCGTGTTTACATACATCCTCACGACTGATTAACTTCACTGACACTCTCATGGTCACAGACGGTGACGAAGATCGTCGGCGAAGAAGATCAATCAACCGCGAGGATATAAACGCGCTGTGCCTCCTTCTCTCGAACGCACAGTACTCGCGTGCGAGAAAAGAAGGCACAGCGTGTTTATATACATCCTCGTAACTGATTAACTTCACTGACACTCTCATGATCACGGATGGTGACGAAGATCAATCAGCCGCGGGGATGTAAACGCGCTGTGCCTCCTTCTCTCAAACGCACAGTACTCGCGTGCGAGAAAAGAAGGCACAGCGTGTTTACATACATCCTCACGACTGATTAACTTCACTGACACTCTCATGGTCACAGACGGTGACGAAGATCGTCGGTGAAGAAGATCAATCAGCCGCGAGGATATAAACGCGCTGTGCCTCCTTCTCTCGAACGCACAGTACTCGCGTGCGAGAAAAGAAGGCACAGCGTGTTTATATACATCCTCGTAACTGATTAACTTCACTGACACTCTCATGATCACGGATGGTGACGAAGATCAATCAGCCGCGGGGATGTAAACGCGCTGTGCCTCCTTCTCTCGAACGCACAGTACTCGCGACGGTGCAGTACCACGCGGGAAACTTTGTTCACCGCGTTCCCTTTCCATTCTTTTGCTCCGGTCGCGTTTCCTCGAGCTTGCACGTTGAATAAGTCTCGCACCATAACGCGAAGCTTTCGCAACTAGCCTGTCACGGTTCCCGAGTTATCAGACGGCGTCGCGATGCATGGAGACGCGCGGAGAGAAGGATCGCGAAGGAAGCGACGCGATAACAAAGTCGCGAGCGGAAAAGTCAGCCACAGATGGCTGCGAGCAGATGTACGAGCTAGCTGGACTGTGTCGAAGCAACGCGAAGGAAGCTCGGGGTCCAGGAGGACCTCGTTACCGTGCTTTAACTGCCCTCGAAACGCGGTTTGCTTTACGAGGGAAGAAAGGAAAATGGAAGAAAAGAGGACTGACTGCGGCCAGGCAATCCTCTTTCCTCGCTCTCTATTATTAACACTAGAACTACCGATCTTTAATGGGTACCTAACTATAACGTGCACAGATCATAGTAATTTCAGCGATACGATGAATATGAGTGAATATATTGATTACACTCCTTTCTTAACCCTTAGAGCGCTATAGACGCATATATGCGTTGTTCAATTTTTTCGGTCTTCCATGTAATGCTATTACATGTAACTTTATGTGAGACAAATATATGTGTGTTTCTTAGCAACGGCAGTAAAAAAAGACAAATGATGGAACAAATAATAGATGCGAGGACGGGTTTATTCTTTTGTATATCTGTTCCGAGTATCATTAGTAAGGTATTAACAATATAGTATACGTATAACAATATTAACAATATAGAAAAATTTATCATACACAAATAAACTATTAATTTTTGTTTAGTTTCTGTTCCTTATTTTTATGTTAAGTTATATTGTAAATTTTACTCATGCTAATAGATAATTGATGCTTGAAAATAACGTTCTTTTATTATTTAACCTGCTGCAAAAGAATTAACATGCTAATAGATAATTGATGCTTGAAAATAAAGTTCTTTTATTATTTAACCTGCTGCAAAAGAATTACAATAATAACTCGTTAGTTGCGTTTTGAACAGTTAATCAACAGAGCTCGGACGAGCGAAAAGTATTCCGTCCACAGCGATCGTAAGCGCTAAGCACGCACAGTCCCTCTGAAGCGCTTCGGCAGAGAGTAGTCCGCACTCTAAGGGTTAATATGAGTTGATACCAATTTTATTCTTAAAGCAGATGTATCTATTCGGTGATTGCAAAAAGGAAAATTCTGGGACCAGTCATTTCGACTGGATTGGTAGTTCTAGTGTTAACCTCGACCCCGTGCGCCCCCAGATGGAACGTAGTGACCGATTGCTGATTACGAACCGAAAGAGGAAAGCGTGCGAGAGGGAGGCGCGGGAAGCAAAGTGCGGCTGGATTTCTAAATGGTTGTAAATCGAAAGCGAGTGAGGAAAAAAGAGCGTGTTTACCCAGGCTGGCGTCGTACGTGTTAATGTACTCGCTGGTCATGAACTGCGAGACCAGCGCAGTCTTTCCCACCCCGGAGTCGCCGAGCAGAACTACCCGATACTTCGATACCTCCTCGATCTCCTCGCTTTCCGTGCTGTCCCCGACGCCCTGGCCGCTGCAGCAGGAACCATCGAACGGCGATCTTTCACCGGAGACGTTGCTGTTTCTGAAAGAAAACCAGTGAGAAATTTACGATAGGGGATTCAACGTCGCGTACGTAGGCCAGTACATAGGCCGTACATTGGCGTGGAGCTCGTATATAGGCGCGAGCCACGACGCACGCTTTTTGGAAGTCTGCGGGCCACGGACAAAAAAATTCATCGATAAAAAAAGCTCTACCGTACAAGGGAAAGCTTTCCCGGGAATTTTTATCGTTCTGGCGAAATCTGGAAATACTGGATCGCGAGCCAGAGTTCGAGTCTCGCGGACCACGTGTTTGACACCATTGGCGTAGACTATGCAGCGAGGCTACGAGGTAATAAGTTTTAACCCTGAAGGTGGAGGACGAGAGGTTTTTAGAGGTACTGTGTTTACTAGACAGGACTTTATTGACCTGTGGGGGGGGGGGGGGGGGGGGGGGGAATGCGGAAATGCAGAAACAACGCTTTGGGAAAAGACCCTTGTCGCTCTGAAAGCGCAAACAAACTGAACTGTTTTTCCTGCACATTAGACGTCGAGGTGGTCCGCGCGTCCGCGAGTCATGGGATCCTGGTTGTAAAGACATAAACCAGATCCCCATTGACCTGAAGTCCTCGACGTCGCGAAGGAGTGGAAAATATACGAAAGACCTTCGCTTTCCGCATCTGGCTTGTGTCCCTACAACCCTTTCGGTACTACTGTACCAATGGCGGCGGCTATGAAACGTTCTCTAGGTACTACCGTCGCCTATTGGCGGCATCCACGAAACGTCACCGATGACTGTCGCGGTCCGAATGAAAAGTTTAGTGTCAATCACGCTCGAGATTTCTATGAATACCGTAAAACACGTTTTCGTGGTTTCCAGTGCAACCAATCCTGTGAAAAACTTCCTCGTGCCACGAATGTATAACCGCGGCCAGCTCCTCCGAGCTCTACCGAAAGGGTTAAAGGAACTCGTGGTTCCACCTGGATCGATATTATTCGCTTGTCTACGATTAGCGTGGATCTCAGCCTCGTCTTAGGAACGTGCACGGATCGTAAATATGGAGCCGCTTTGGAGAAGCTCGCATCCTATTAGCGAGCCCTGAGCAAATAGTGGATTACGTAGTCCATCGTCAATCATGCACGATTGATATCCCGCATCCAAATAATTTTTAGCTGCAATCGATATTTGGAAAACGATACTGTTATATACGCCATGCGTAATCGAACGTGGTCCAGGAAGAAACGAGTGGAGATCGGTATACCGCGTGGAGGCTATCGGCTAGGACGTGACAAGCATTGCTACAGCGTCGGGTTTCCTTTCAATTTTGCAAAATAATTCGCTCTGTGACTTTCGATTCGACGATTATCAACGTTCCCGTGTCGCGAATTATCGGTTGATAATCGAAGACGAGATCTCCGCGAGACAACTCTGAATCGATACTACATTCGCACGATCGCGAACAACAGGATGCAATACGATATCTCGATACGAGTGACGAAGGACGCGAAAGCTCTTGGCATCGAAAGAACGCAAACCAAGACCGATGAAGCGAAACGTCTGCATAGTTGGCGTGATTCGATCGGCCGCGAGATAGCGAGAAATAGGAAGCTGTTTGTCTCACGTTATTATAAATAACACGCGTCGCATGTTTCCGAAAATCTTCTGCACGCGTAATCGCTTCCCGGATTTTGGGAAACGAATGCGTCGAACGGGGAAACTGGGTTATTCGAGAAGACGAGATCGCGAATATGAGAGTTCCTTTATTTTCGACTGTCTCAGCTCGATTATCGTCCGAATTGCACCCCCAATGAGTCATCGATGAATCACTGACGCCTTGCATGAAAGATTCTAATAAACTCGCATAGAGTCCTCACTTTCCCCCATCGTGGTCATCGATCGTCGCGAAATCCTTCAACTAAAGAGAAAATATCTAAGCCTGGCGTGCATCCAGGAGGGGACATCCCGTGGAGTCTCTGCTCGATGATGGAACTTATCCGAGAAGACAAGATCGGGAACATGAGAGTTCCTTTTGTTGCGGAAGGATAAGGAAATAGGGCTAGTGGTCCAGAAGACTTTCTTCGTCAAAGGATTTTATTTTACTGACGGTCCTTCTGCTTGAGAAGGTTTGACACCCCTCGACCGATCGTCTCGCCATCGATGAGTTCAAGTGTCTTAGGCGTAAACAGTCGGAGACGCTGCCTGTCGCCTGACTGTTTACACCGTCTATTCTAAGATCGCTTACACTTTATTTTCGACCGTTCTTAGCTCGACTACCGTCCCAATCGCACCCCTAATAAGTCATCGACGAATCACTGACGTTCTGCATGAAAAATTCTAATAAACTCGCATAGAGACCTCACCCTCTTCCCATCGTGGTCATCGATCATCGCGAAATCCTTCAACTAAAGAGAAAATACATATGCCTGGACGTGCATCCAGAAGGGGACATCCCGTGGAGTCTCTTTGCTCGATGATGGAACTTATTCGAGAAGATAAGATAGCGAATATGAGAATTCCATTATTTTCGACCGTTCTTAACTCGACTACCGTCCCAATCGCACCCCCGACGAGTCATCGACGAATCACTGATGCTCTGTACGAAAGATTCTAATAAACTCGCATAGAGACCTCACCCTCTCTCCATCGTGATCATCGATCGTCGCGAAATCCTTCAACTAAATATAAAATACGTACGCCTGAACGTGCATCCAAGAGGGAGCACCCCGTGGAGTCTCTTTGCTCGACGACGGAATGCTCCTTCGCGTCACCGACGAAAGAATCGAAGGTTAATGACGCAAAAGCTCTCCGGGATCCTAGGTTTTCCCTCGTCGAGGGTTCGAGGGTTGCTCGACGGGGGTGAATACCGTCAATGAAAGCCGTGAAATCGATTCCATCGGCGATCGAATCTCCAACGATGTTGTCGAATCGACGGGACATTACACGAGACATTACGTAAATCCGGACAAGTTTTCGGGGTCGTCGGTCGATTAGCCATCAACGGGCCAATGGGACGAGGAGAAGCGACGGGGCCAGCTCTGCTGGACGGAAGAAAAATTGTCTGGATGCTGTCGATTCATCACGGGACACACGGAGAGAGATAAAACTCGACCGGGCAAATTGCTCCAATGAATCCCCTGGCAATCGAGCCTACGCTATTGCCACGCGAATTTTTACACACGGGATCAAATATTAATCCTCTGTGACTTTGTTTCCAGCGTTCTTTTTAATTTCCAACCGGCCGGGCTCGATACACACCCGGCGTGATTTCCAAAGAGCGATTTACAAAAGCGTCAATTGTCGTCGAAATATCGGCGAAAATCCGAGATATTTCGGAATGAAATATTTCGAAGTCGCGTTATTTCGATACAGTTTAAAGTTCACTCGAGTGCTCTTGTTGGGGAGCAATTATATAGCGCGAAGACCAGGTGTGCCACTTGTTTACGGTTCCAGGTGTCATAATCGCAGCGAGTGTGCGGTTGTATCGCAGGATATAACCATTCGCGCCATTTTTCTTTTCATTTTCTATTCACGTTACAGAAAAACAGTAATTCGAAGACTTTCTGTCATAGAGTGGACGAAATTTTTAAAGTGGTAAATGAGAAATCATATGCAAATTAAGACGTAGAATTATTTTTCTTCGTCATTCCACACATTGTTAGATAATTTTATATTTGATATATTAATTAACATCGATCTTTAGAATTTGATTAAATGGTGACTGAGAGTCACCTCTCGAGTGCAAAGGGTTAATAAACAAATAAACTCTCGATCGCTGGATTGAAGAAAAATATGAATGAGTCAATTGTTTTTGGACCCTGGAATTGGTTTATCAGCCAGGAACTAACAAATAACAAAAGAGCCAACGAATCGTTAATCGTCCAACAAGTCGGTCCACTGGCCAATACCACATCACCTTAATAAATAAATAAATCAATAAACAAATAAACTCTCATTCGTGGCCGTCGAAATTTCGAATGCTCGAGGAATTATTTAGAAAAACGCGTAAAAGTTTTCTCGGCGAAATGCGATTGCCATTTTTCCCACTTACCGTGGCGACAAAGCGACTTGCCCGATCGGCTGTCACGTCCCGTCGCGAGCCCTTATCGATCGCGAGCCGAGGAGCTAATCAAATTTACGTGCATGATGTCGGGCACAAAGCGAACGCGCGGAAAGGAGCCGGCTACCTGGGATTAGCGCTGGGACAGCGACGTAAGCAAGCTGCCTTTGCGCGATGAAACGCGGATCCGAGAGTGAAACGGAATGCCCGTGTCTCAGCCCTCGGTTCAACTTTTACGAGCTTCGTCTGCTCGCAACCGCGTCGGCCAGCCATGCCGAGGAATTCGGATTTTAAATTGGAATTCCGAGCTCCCAGCGATTCTGTCCGTGGTGGAGAATTAGCGGAAAATCCAGGAGAATTTTATTCGCCGACCAGAGATCGACGATCGATCGCCACCCCCTCGAGTGCCCCGATACCCGTTAATGACGAACGAACGCGATAACGCAACGGACTCGATCAAAGCGCGGACGAGCGATGCAGAACTCGGCGAGCGAACGAAATTTCCGCGAGTGGGAAAACGATCCGTTTTGTATCCATAGCGATATTTAGAATACTAATGATCCGAGCGAGCTAGCACGCCGCGACGGACTGTCATCGAGTCCAAAGCCTCGTTTGATCGTCATTTATTTATAAAATTCCCATCTCTCGCAGCGCGGCCATTCTCTGGCTAGAACGAGCATGATCTAACGCGAGATATTTGGAACCGCATTCGCGAGTGGATCGCTGGTATTAATTAATCTAAACTACCGATTATTTAATTAATCTCGCGTGTCTGCATAGATTTGCATAAATACACGGGGGGAAACTGTCGTGGCCTAATACGACATGTTTGCAACGAAATGAGTGGATCATTACCGTTCATTACCGTTGATTAATCGTATTTTATCGGTGTGGATAGGTGCTGCTAAATACACCGTATTTGTATAAATTTGTATAAATAAATAGAAGGAGAACTATGTTTAGAAAAATTTTGAGAAACCCAGCT